AGGACTGTCCAGGATGATTTTGGGAGCTTCTGATTTTTTTTGTGATAACATGATATTGCATGTATAGATGATCATGTTTTCACCAAGTATCGTGATTATTATTTTTTTATTTTAGTTTTTCTTGTAGGGTGCACCCAGTTGCCACAGAGAAACAGAGAAAGAGAGAGAAAGTGAGAAATCACGCTCTAGGAATGATGGTAACACCACAATCCCTTCTTCTCCAGTCTCCTCTTGGGATTTTGGGCACATATGCATATATGGCTAGCTTGATTTTTTTTTTTTTGAGCTTAAAACTTCTTTTTTTTTTTTACATGTATTAATTTTATTTCATACAATTTGATACATGATATATAGGGCAGTATATATATATATGCACATATATATATCCAATTACCAGCCTTTTGTAATAATTTTTTATTTTATTGTTATTATTATTATTTTATACATTTGATTACCACATATCATTTGGCTTGCAAAGAGAATTTACCCACCATGAAATACACCTCAGACCAGTCCAGTTGAGAACACTATACACAATATCATCAACAGGTAAAAAAAAAACAAAACACTACTGTGTCCCACAAATGTCTTGCCTCTTTGTTTTTCCCCCTAATTTTCTTTCCTATTCTCTTCCCCTTTCCTACCCTCCTTCCACACTGTCTCCAGTGTCAATAACTATTTTCAATGCTTTTATGTCCTCCAATCTTTCAGTTTCTACCATAAAGTGTGGATAATCAGTGATTTCTCACTTTTCCTCTCACTGTCTCTCTCTGTCTCTCTCCAGGGATGCATACACCCTATGGCAAAAATCTAAAACAAACAAACAAAAAAACACATATTTTAAAAATACCAGTAGGGCTAATCCCATAGCCCAATGATTAAGGGAACCAGATCCTACATGTCCAGGTATGGTTTGAATCCCAGTCTCAGTGACTTGAAAAAGACACCAGACATGTGTATGTGTGTGCCCTAAATCCCAACAGAATGGAGAAATAGAGGAGAAGACATTGTGGCATGACCAAACCCCATTGAAAGGTGCTTTCTCCTTCTCCCTCTCTATGTCTCTTTGGCAAACACAGGTTCTCTTTGGAAGCTAAAGTAAAGAAAAGTGTCAATAAATAAATAAATCTACAATTTACCCACATAGAGAAGGAATACAAAGAACACATTTTGTACTGTCTATACCTATCTTGACTCTCTACTGCTTGGAACACTGACTGACCAATTTGAATAAAAAATAAAGCATCTGCCACAGTCTTTACTAGACATGGGAGGAGCTTCTGGACATGGCCCTGGAATATGCCCTGACTGTGGCAGAAGAGCAATCCTAACTGCAACTCTAGCTTGGTTTCTCTCTTTCTCATCTCTCAAAGTTGCTCCATGGCAGGATTGCAAAGCTCTGGCACAGCATCATTAACCTTGGTCTGAAACTTCTGGGATGTTTATCTTACTGTTTCTGCATAAGCTTTTGGACCCCACAGGAATTCATTGCATGGTGAATCGCTGTTGGACCTGTGCTGGTACTTCAGGTACATTTCCTGCACCAGACCTCTGGTGATGAACTTCCTGGATTCCCACAGAGGAAAAGATGAAGTGCTTCTCAGAATTATACTCAGCTCTTCCCAGATTATCTCCTTGGTGGCACAACTATCCTTTGTGATTATCAGACTTAGGGCAGTCATCAAGAGGCTGGTCTTGGCACACTCTTTTTCTTTCTTTCTTTTTTTTTGGAGAGGTTTTTGCTATAGGGCACGTGCGCTTGCCAGACAGACAGAGAGAGACATAGAGACAGAAAGCGAGAAATCACCCCCCAGGGGGGATGGCCACGCCGCAATCCCTTCTCCTCCATTCTCCTCTTGGGATCTTGGGCATGTACGCACAGGCGCCCAGCGTGAGATTTAAGCCACCGGGTCCGGGATGCGAACCACGGTCGACTACGTGGGAGTCCAGCGACATAGCCATTACGCTAACTGCTGGTTCCCTTGGCACACTCTTTTTATAACTCAGTTCGTCATGATTAGGTAAGGTCCTGTTTTCTGATAAGGGCATAAGAGTGGTTTCCTTCTTTTACCAAAGACTGTTTACATACACTCAGAGGCTCTCCTGAGGATCTCAGAAAGTACTATTTATACTCTTTCATGACATACTTAAGCAGGCCTACTTTTGCGATAGGCTCTTTGGTTTGAAAACTGAGCATCAAGGAATTCAGCAACAAAGCCACTGCCTAGTCCAAAATGTGTCTGGGTAAGTTCTCCATGTCTGACAAAACCTGTAGGGTTTTATGACTCTCCTCTTTTTCTTGACCTCTGAGTCTTCATGTGTTCTTCTTGAGAGGTACCTATAAACACTCCTGGCTTTGAGTCTCCCACGGGCCTGAAGGCATTGCTCACATGTGCAATGCAGATGCTTCTGACTGTGGGTAGGTGGCGATGAGGAACCACAACCTAAAAAAGAGGAGGATATGGGTGGCTTTAACTAGTAAACACAACTTTTTTGGCAATAAAAAAAATGCCATTTCTACCACACTTTTCCTGAAGGCAGTGCTTTAGGGTCTCACAGGTCTTCTACTTGTGCTGTCCCACAAGTATTTGGAGCAGGAATTAAGAAGGCTTTTCATTGTGCAATCAGCCAACTCAGCTGGAGACTTCTTAGAGTTCACAGTAGGGCAAACATATTTGGGTTCTGTACAGTTCCCATTGGATTAGGAGGAGTGATCCCCTCAGTCCTTACTCAGGATACTCATTGTGACTCTGGATAGGTTTTGGGATATTCAACCTACTGACCTGAGGCTGTTTTAACTTAAGGCCATCACCTCTCTGATACCCCTAAGAGGAAGTGTCTCACATGGCTGACCCTGTCTGGTTCTCCCCAGAGTTGATAGAAGGAGTATGACTCCATAGGACATCCTCTCTTCTGGTGTGGGTGGTCCCCTCACTTCTCATTCTGAGTCCTCCCCTTGACTCCTGGCAGTCTGGAGTTTCTCCTTAGGCTGAACTGAGGTCCTTCAGAGAAAGGACCTAATTTTGAATCCCCTGGAGAGAAAATAACACAGGACAAAGAAATATAGGACATATTTTCTATAGGCAGGATGTTTGGCAAACTTGCCTGAGAAGAAAGTGAGTTTAAACCTCTGCCTAAACCTCCCAGGTCTCATAGAAGGGGTGGAGCAAGACACTGAGATCCTCCTCTTATGAAAATACATTATTCTCAATTCATATGGGAGACTAAAATATATCAAGAAATGATACTCTTCAGAGAAAAGCAAGTTTGAGAACCTGCAAAGAGGTGCAGGAGAGGGTAACAGCAATGAATATCTCTTGCTGAGACACTGTCACAGTGAATTAGACATACCTAAGGATCAGTACTGGAGCATTTCCAAAAACAGGGCCTGAGGCATGATGTTAAGTGCTATTCAAAAGAAAAGGAAAGAAAATAAAAGAACAATAACAACAGCAACAACAAATCCCACTCAAGTCACTTTAGTTAGTTTAAATAAAATCGAATAGGTTTTCATTTTCTAGTTTGGTTTTCTCTGGTTTTGTTTTTGCTGTAAGACTTCCAGTTTTGTCTGGTTTTGTTTTCACGTAAGACTTCCTAGAGCATGAAAATATGTACTGGAAAATTCAAATTAGAATAATAGAGTATGATAAGAGTATGATGACTTTTCTAAACCTATTTGACCATGGAC